GAAGCATCGGCGGACGAATCGGCTAGCGAGCTCTCCTCCGACTTGAATCCCACACGGCCTACGAAGCCGAGGAACTTGGGTAGCCAGTTGAAGTTTGATGCTGCGACGGTCATGCGGCCCGCGACGAAGGAGTTGCCGAGGAGGGAGCCGGCAACAACGAGGCAGATGAGGACTGCAGCGACGATGCCGAAGGCGGGGCCGAGGAGGCGGTTGATGGCGGTCTAGCTATTGTGAGCACGGGAAAGGAGTAAATTGAGGAGGTTGGTGGGCATGACTTACGACTGCCACGCTGTCGGTCGAGGCAACCACATTCCAGGGGAGAAGGATATAGTAGGCTGCATTGGCCGCGATGAAGCATAGAATGATGGTCGGTACGGCAGTGTTGATGGCCAGAGGGAGCTGGCGTGCCGGCTGCTGAAGCTCAGCAGAGACGTAGACGGCCTTGACAACGTTAGATGCACCCACTAGTAGATACCAGGACGAACGACGTACCTTGTCCCAGCCAGAGTACGCCCACAGAGCACCGTAGAGCGCAGCAGAGTAGTAGCCAAGCATATCCCACGTCCCAACCTTGTTCCAGTCCAGCTCGCCGCCACCCGGCAAAGACGTCTTGCGGTTCCCGAACCAGGGCTTATCAAACCAGTCCCGTCCGCCAACATCACGGTCGTGGTCCGATACTTGAAGGATGACGACGACGATGCCGGCAAGCACCACGGCAAAGATACTGGTAAACTTAGTCACGACAAACAAGTTGTTCAGGCGAGTGCTCGCCTTGGTGCTGATGGAGTTGGCGCCGTTCATAACGACGAGAATCAGAATCGAGAACAATTTGTGCGGGAGAGCCCCGGCCTGGTCGGTCACCCCGCCGGCGGAGTAGATGCTCTCGACGAATACGATGCTGAGGATGGCGAGGGTGGCTGGCATGACGGCCACGATCCAGGTCCAGGCGGCAAGGAAGCCAAAGACATCGCCATAGATGTGCTGCAGGAAGGGCTGGACACCGCCTGTTCACATCGTCAGCGCTATCGTACCACACAGAGACTCGTCAAAGGGGGTTGAACTCGCCTTCACCAGGGATCGCCGTCCCCAGCTCAGCCATGGTACTCGCACCAGTCCACGCCAGGACACCACCAACAAGCCATACTACGAGCGCAGCGCCGGGCGACGGGACATTTGTGTCAATGGAACCCGGAGAGGTGAACACGCCGCTACCAATGACGATGCTGATGACAATGGCAAACGCCTCGACGGCGCCGAGGTTCTTGGAAAAGGTACCGGCCCCGCGCTCCTCAGCGATGAGGACCGGAGGTTCAGGCCCATCGGTGCCGCCGTACTCATGATGGGGGTCTGCCAAGAGGGGCCGTTCCGCGGCATCTTCGGATTGTGTGTTGGACGGCATCTTCCCGTTTTCGTCTGCTTACCAGCGAGGGACCGTTGCCAATTGGATGAGGGGGTCCGGAAAGATGTCGAGGGAATGAGGGACAGGGAGTGAAGGAGCTTGGAGCTTGAAGCTTGGAGCTGGAGCTGGAGCTCGGAGTCACCCGACGAATCAGGCATAGTGTCTTTGGTGTATCGGAATGGGGATGAGCTCATCGATGGCCGGTACGTATCTTCGAAGAGATGGTCCAAGCACTGAGGTGGTCTGAACGCCGGGTCCGCTTTTACCAACCGTTCACTTGTACCTAGGCAAGAAGCGGCCCACTTTGGGCAAATTACCTAATACAGAGGTCAACGGAACGCTGCGTCTCCGCGCCGAGAGCTTGCCTGCCACCGCAAGTGGAATTCACCGGAGTGAATGCCGCCGGACCAGATCCCGTCGGAGTAACGTCCGTCGGAGTGGACTCCGGGATCATCATATCTACGTCTCATAGCTTCAATGAGGGGTGAGATGCTGTCAAGTTCCAAAGAGCATTGAAGTATCATGGCTCGAGTTCGCATAAACCAAGAGCATCATTCATGTTGCTTCGCGCACACGACTGCCTTGGCCCAAGACAGTCAGTGCTATGAGGATGCCAGGTACTAAGTACTGGCCGATTGACTCTTGAGACTCGTTCTATAGTTGAAGATTTACATTAGGGTGCTAGCAACGAAGATCGTTGAGCAAGTACTCAAGCGCTCTAGATGAGAAGTACGCTTGATTAACATTGTTGTACGCAGCATGTTGTTCTCCGAGATTCTGCAACGTATCATCGAGACTCTCAACTATGGAGCCCACGGCACTGTACACATGAGGCTCGATTCTAGCGAGCGAGAGCACTGACTGAATAGTCACGGAGGTACTCTCCTTGGGCAGTTGTGAGAGTGGTAGCTGGCGGCCAAGTGAGCCGAGAGCAGTGGCCATGCGTACTTGCCTGTCAGACCATTGAAGGGCTGACTGGGTAGCAGATTGAGGATCACTCTCAAGAAGTGATGATGCGCCATCGCGCGCAACGGGTGACGCAGGTTGCTTGAATCGGAAAAAGACAACAAAGTCACCACTAGATGTGGACAGCGGCGCCCAGAGCAACCCGAATATGGTACGAGCACTTGCAGCGATCTCCACATCAGGCAGTTCAGCCGCCACGTCTGTCGAAATGATGACAGATTCACTTCGGTATGGTTGGATACACCGCACAATCGCCGTTGCCTCTTGGTACAACTCTTTGCTAGGCTCTCCAAGTCTGCCAATCTCTCCTCTGGTAGACGTCAACGCAAAATCGGCGCCAAAGAGGCGCAAGAGGTCCTGTGACGCTGCGGTGCTCTCGGTGGGATATCGGATCGAATCGCGTTGAGCTTGTGACGATTCAACATGGCCCAGCATAGAAGCGTATGACAGTCTTTCGATCGCGACCCCAGATGTACTGCCAATGAACTCGCACATTTGGCGTTTGGAAATGGGTAGTGGTGTTCCTTCAGGACTATACCCGTAGCAGACTACCAGCCCCCATCGCTTACCAAAGGCGTTGATTGGAATGGTCAAGAAGGAGCGAGCTTTGCAGTCCTCGGCCGCGAGCTCTTCAAAGAAAGTTGGCGAAGCTCTGTTGAGGTAGGATCGGTCTAGGTGGATAGATCCGTGCTGATGGGATCCCGCACTTTTCCAGACGAGTCTCGCAGGACTAGCATCGCTATCGTGTAGAATCCTGAGGTGACTCGGGAAAGGCGACTGATGGTTAACGTTGCCGGCGCGGGAGGGCCTCGTGAAATGTATGCATCGCTGCGAGCCCCGCCATTCCCTGTCGGAGGTGTCGAGTATCGTTATAGCCATGAACTTGTCGATGCGATACAAAACGACTCTATCGAACCCCGTGACCTCTTCCACTGCAGCCACGATGGTTTCGGGCACCGCCGCGAGACCTGCTATGGCGGCGAAGGATGCCTGTATCTCTGACATGATCCCAATTGCCTGCATAGTGCTCAACTCCACACTATCTTTTCCGACTCTCCTAAACATTCGAGGGGTTTTCGTCACAACGTCTCTCGTGTAACTTCGTTGACCCACTGGGGTGGCAGAGCCATCCTCGTGTGGCTCGAATTCGCAAACGATCGTTTCGGGGCCTGAAGAGTCCCTAGTGAGGTGCATGGAGCACCAAAATCTTGTAGCTTCGCCATGTTTGGGGATAATCGACAGGTTGAAAACAGCACGGCCACCTGTAGCTCCTACATCGGATTTCTCTTCTCTGAGCAAACCAAGCCGAGCCATCAAGGTTCTCACATCGTCTCGCTCCAAGATGCTGCCAAAGTCTTCGAGTCCGAACAGGTCATCCGGGGAATAACCTGTAAATGTGGCCGAATTGTCGCTCGCGCAGTTGACCACGAGACGGCTGGCATTGTCCTCGTTCACGATGAGTGCAACCAAGAAGCCAAAGTGTTGTATAGTGTTGGACGCGGGCTCGAGGATGTTATCGAGATGTTGGTGTATTTGGACATCGTCGTCGATTGGGCGTGCAGGCTGAGCCATAGCCGCCCCGAACGACTAGACTGTGCCGTGTCTCTAGCTTATCCGCCACATATGATGCCGATGGACCGCGTGTAAATGAATGCCGGATTGAAAGATGGCGTCAGGAAGTACGAGCGATGATTGCAAAGAACACAAGGTCTGCGAGTGATATGTTCGTCTGGTTTAGCTTGCATCGGTGTAGCCAGGCCTGCAATAATACCTAATAGTACATGTAAGCACTGACAGAAGTTGATGCTTCGTGAAGAATATCACTCAACATCAGCGACCGTTCTGGAAAACGACCGTGGCAAAATCTTCTTTCCTTCTGCCCACGGGAATAAGCCGAGTCATGAGCGCTGGCCCGTTTCTAGCAAATGCGCTTGGCGCCGTTCAAAGCGTTATTCGTGAGGATTGAAGAGGTCGAAAGAACTGGCAGGAAGCGAGTGGCGGATCTCAACACACATTGAAGCCGATGTACAAACATTTGCCTGCGACATGTCAATCGAACTTCAATCGAGTCGAATCGAAAGAAGTTCGCCCACACGTGGCCGTAGCCATTTCGGGAAATGTACGTAGCCTGACAATCTTATTTCTGCGTCTTGCGCCTTCCCAGTTCCCGTCCCGCCTTCCCCCCGTTGTTATTCGCGACTGCCCGTCCAGAATGACCGGATGATTGGCGGCTTCTGACGTCACTGCTCAGTTTTCTGGATTCTAGACCCCGAGAGCCCGTTTATTCCTAAATTACCTAATGGCCGTATTTGGGCCGAAAGAAACTGTGAATGGTTCGTCGAAATCCCGTTTAATATGGTGGAACAGCACAAGCCGGGCTGCACGGTTGAGTGGGTTCACGCATTCCGGGACAAGGCGTATCGCCGCTATCAGACCGTTCAAGAAGAATCATCATTATGAAGTTCAAGTCTCTTCGGGTATGGAGGAAATGAATTAAAACAAAAAGAGATGCTTCAACGAAGAATCCTCTCGCTGGCGCTCAGCGTATACTCCTAGAACGCCTCGCCTAAATGTCATGAATGCACTGCTTCCTTACGCCGCCCACTGCCATGTTTGCCTCCCAACAATCTCACCGCTAAATGTGTCTCTCCATCGTCTCTTGTGTTTGTGGACGTGCAATGGAAGCGTTCTTGCGTGAATTATGCGCATATAATAGTCCACAAACATTACAGAGTGTCCACCGACCGTCGGGTCCGTCCCTCCATTGCGGCGTGCTCGTTGCCTGGCAGGAGTGGCAGCAAAGGGAGTCGTCCATCACACGCCTCTATTATCGCGATGATTTAGTTCATGACATCTTGTTGACGGATTGGAAGGGATTACTGAGGGAAAAGGGAGCCTACCACTTTTGAAGTGCGATCAAACGCCGCCACGGTGGAAGAGCGCCTTTTCCTGGTCGCTCTGGGGCTCACAGACTGTTGCCGATCTGCATCTGTGGTGCTTCTGTAGGACAGCAGCGCCAGATCATCCAGGTTGCTGGCGATGACCTCTGATAAACTCTGCGCAGCTAGTATTCTCGAGTTACTGCTCGTCGTCTCTCTAGAGCAATCGCCGCACTCGCAGCCACCTTTTGAACAGGTGCCATCGACCAAACCCTGAATGTTTTGGAGCAACTGTCTCGCATCGTTGTGAATCTAGGACCCTCCGTGTAAGTCGCCACTTGCACCGATCGAGAACGACAAGGGATGAACCGACATCGTCAACAAATTCGACTCACTCTTTGTATCATCTCCGTCGCCTTGATCTGGTCAAAGGATATTGGCGGTAGCGGCGAGTGGGCATCGGCATCGTCCGGCGCTGCATCGGACGCGAATGCATTCGCCGCCGCCTCCCCCTCCGCCTCCGCCGACATCTGCAACCCGAGCTTGGGCCGTTTGTGGTTCAGCTGCGCATCAGGTTTGACGGAAACCATGGAAAAGTCGATGGGATATGGATGGGAATGTCGATGGGAATGTCGATGGGAATGTCGATGTGTTGGGGATCGAGGTTTCGAGGATCGAAATTCCAGGTTTGCGATCACAGGAATTGAAGAAATCGAAGAAACCGATCGGGAAACTGCATGGGGACAGGATGGCAAATTGAACAAGGCCCAAGCGAATTCTGATTAATCGTGTGATGCAAAAGTTGGATGGAAAAGAGCGACAGGATCGGGTATTTGGCTGAGGGATCGGATGTGCTGAGGTACGACAGTTTTATCGAGATTCGATTCCCTCGGGGGCGACTTCGAGAACAGCGCAGTTCCTCCCATCCACCACCGTAATAACGAAGGCCACAGTTATGACGGACCGTTCTTAGGACCCTGCTTAATTGAGAAACTGACAAATTAGCGCGCATGCTATCCGTATGTATCCGTAATTCCGTATGGGCAGGCACCGCATCTTTTCCCCTCTCTCCAACAAACTAACAACCTGGAAAGGGTAAGAAGGGGTCCAAGGGTCCAAAAACTGGGCTGTCTCAAGTAATCAGGGTCTTTAGGCAGTAAGGTACGTACTCGATGTACTTTACTCAAGTTTGCTGTACAGTGTACAGCGGCTAGCACCCGTCCTTCACTCTGGGTCGTCCGACAATGCACAATCTACTACAGTGGTTACTGTTTATGCACAATCTGACAATGTTATACAGAGGATTCGGCGACGCCGCTCCAAGAAATTCCCAGCAACATTTCAAGATAAAAGATCAGGGAATTTCCACACAGTCCTGAGGTTTGTATTGGGAGCATCAGACTACTTTCCAATACTTCAACCCCATATTCATCTCTATGGCGCGGAGTTTGGCTTAGTTTTACAAACTCACGATACACAGCTGAGTCGGTACAATTCTCGAGTGCCACATTTGTGTCCGGCAAAGGTGTCATGGACACCGCCTGTTGCTGTATGTACACGGCAGGTAGACTCTCACAAAGCTCCTGGGAGTTCACACTGTTATTCCTGCAGATGGACTCACCCGTCGGTTTTCCAGAGTTGGGCGCAAAGACTTGCAAGGGACTGCCTCTCTGGAGACTGGGAAGCTTGTGCCCTAGGCCCAGGCCCAGGCCGTCTTCCGTTTTCCCTCCTTCCGCAACTGAGACGGGCTTTGAAAGACCAATAGGAAGTGTCTCCAGGGCCAAATCACAGAGTCCTATTGGCGGAATTCTCTCCGGCTCGGTGTTTAATCTCTTCCATTCGCCCTTTGTCCCTCAATTTTTCTGACACCAGAGCTGGTCCCTTGACCCTCTGCTGCGCTGTTGCGTCACTGGGGGTCTAGGCCCTCTTGCCGGTAGCGAAAACGGACCTCTTAGTGCGGTAAAAGAGTCCCTGACTGGGATTGGCAATGTCAGGTTGCTCCTCACTTCGTGACACAGTGGGCAACGTGTCAGCCAGAGGAGGAAGTTTGCGACATGGTGCCCCGTAACACCTTGTGTTAGCATACGAAGTTTATCACACTGGACGGAATACGCTTTCCTGGGCCAGGATTTAGGTGGGTGATACGGTGAGCACAGAGAAAGAATGAGGGAGAAGGGGATGAAAGCTTTCCGCTGTCCACTTTCCTTTGCCCACCCTCTACTCCATCCAATCTGTCGCGGTTTGCCACTTCACTTGGACTATAATGGTCAGTAAAGTGGTGTTGCAGGAGAGAACATCTGTATTTGGTAAGGCGGTATCAGTGGGACAAGTGGGATGAGAAGAACGAGGGAGAAGGGTGGTTTGATTTGGTTTGGTTTGCCTTCCCCATCCCCCCCTTTTCACAACCCCTCCTGTGTAGCACAGTGGCCCCGGCTTCGTTCTCGTCGCATTTCCCAGCGAAAGAGGATCACGTAGACCAAGCCCGAAGAGGAGAACCTTGAGCAATCTCTTCCTTTACTTGCTGACATGTAACATCATGCAGTAAACATCGATTAAATCTATATCGGGTACTACTAACATGGCGATTTTCTATAAGTATATCTCGTGCTTGATGATTCAGAGGAACCCAGTCTGTCCTGAGGTGAGGGCGTCTTTTGGTACAGTGGGCCAGAGTATCCAAGTTTTTGGGAGATGATTGACATCGTGACACATCTTGTCCTATGGCCACACTAGACAAAAGTTACAGCAGCTTGGACCCTATGCCAGTTGACAAGTTTTCGTCCTGAAGAGAAACAATACCAATGATGTGATGCCTCACAGGCTTAGGTGCCTTGGTTCAAGAAGTGCCAAGGACTACACCTTGCTATTCTCTCCACTTTGCTGGGATCGTAACTCAGTGCATCATAGGACTCAGGCTGTGAACAGAAGGGTCAAAGAAAAGAGGCACAAGATGAGCACCATTCTTTTCTGATTGATGTAGAAGAAGATGTTGCTGCCAGCAGTTTTGATTACCTTCCAGTTGAAAAGATGCCACGATACAAGATTTCCTATCGTCAAGGTCCTTGGAAAAAGAAACATTTCAAAAAACTTCATGCTCCATCTTCTGTTCAATAGCATAATCAAGGAAGCAGTAATGTTTGTTGTCGTGTTTGTTGGAGGCAGACGGATGAAGGTGCAATCCGCGTTGAAACTTCAGTTCATGTATCTGTAGCATTTCCTTGAATTTACAAAACTTCTTTACAAACATGACCTCAAGATTGATAGAGGAACCAATGCAATTCCAGAAGCAGCTGATGGAATACAGTAGTGTGTCAGAGGCCTTTAACATCATGTAGAGGTGGTAGACAGCATGAGCGGAGTTTTCATCAGGGGTTGGTAGGCACGATGAGGTCAGTGAGATACGGCTCTACCTACCGTTCGGGAGGCACGGAAGGAACGTCTTGAAGCTATTGGAGTTACGAATACGGATGACAACAATAACAAAAACAACAACTGATCATTGACGGAGGCCAGTGTTCCTATCACTCTACTCCATCAACTATATCACGCACACTGGGCAAGCCTCTTTTAGCGTCGAAGTCTCATCACATGAGCAACCTGTCTAGGAACAGCCGTGAGAGTAACGTTTTCGCGCCGACGGACCCCCAATCGTTGAGTCAATCTTATGACTAGGAAGGATACAAAAGGACACACAACCGAACTCCAATCCCAGACTCCCCCGCCAAAGCCCAGACACCCAAGATCCCTGACCCACGGCTACCCAAAACCCATTGATCCAAACTTCCAGTTTTGCAGTCCCATAACTCTAGCAAGCATCGATGAACGCCAATCCAATTCGAACAAAAGTGGTATCATAAGGTAATCGTGAGCGCAACTGAGGGTATCCGTACTCTAATTGTAACAATCATGGCAAACAAGTGATGAAATCGGTAAATCAGACTCAGCACAGGCTCAAGACGAAAACGACATTGAGGAAGACGCCGAGACACGGTTGCTGTGCCTGAGCCCTTGCTTCCGCTGCCTCATGGCATAAATCAGGCCGCAGACATTGCAGAGGGTACGCGGCCCCGCGGGTCCGCTACGCCACTGTGGTGTACAGGTGGTGTGGCAGTTGTGGCAGACGGAGGGATCGGACATGTTCTGTAACTGTGCCTCAGTGTAAGTGAACGTTCAGTGTAGCTAAACCCCACCGAGCTTCCATTGTGAACCAGGCTTGTAAGACGAATGTTGGAATGAGAATAAGACACGGACGTCGTCTGCCCGGAGAGATATGAGGAACATTCGATGAAGTTGCGGTAACTTACTGCATTTGAGTGATGGTTCCCGGCAGCAGCAGCATGCTCGGCTTGCCCATATTGTTTGCGGCGGACCTTGCGCAAGTGGCTGGGGCGTCTCATTCGCAAGGTCGTCTCCTTTGACTTCTGAGAGATGGCCACCAACTCCGCCATGTCTCCGGTAATGTGCTGGGAAATCTTCTGCGCGTGTAGCAGCTTTGGGTTGCCGAGCAAGACTCCAGTCACCAGGCGGCCGCCCTCAAGCGCGGGTGCCCTGCTATATCGGAGCAAGCCCTGTATATTGCGAAGCAGGTTGTTTGCATCGCCATGGACCTGTGTACGTCAAAAGGGGGTTTGTCAGCACATGATGGACATGTTTTTTCGAAAATCGCATTATGAGGATCGAATTTTGGCAATCGCATCGGGTGGGCAGAACGCACTCTCTGAATGATTTCGCTGGCCTTGAGATGGTTCAGGGACATGGGCGCTAGTGGTTCGTTGGCGTTGCTGCACTCATTCTCGCTGGGACGGCGTCGCCAAGTCAGGGCCGGCATGGGCGCGACAAGATCTGCCGGGGTCCGGGCCATTGACTCTCTGGAAGATGGAATTTGGAACGGGCTCGGCCGGTTTGGGAAACGGACTGGAATCCGTCAAAAGTCGGACGGACCAATTGTCGTGAACGTAAGAGCGGGGCTGCTGCCAGTTTTGGGAATGGAAAGGAAGTCTGTGGGTGACGTCGATGGGTGGAGGAGGCAGAATGTTGTAGAGATCGAGAATTGTGAGAGGGATCGAAAATGAGGGGATGGGGCCTTCTTCGTTTATAAAGGAAAATCGAGCGTTGGAAAGAGGGGAAAGCACGGGACCGCCCAACACTCCGTTTTACACTTTGCTTTGCGTTTACGGTTCCACGCCCTCTCCAACGGCAGTCAAATCCCCAGTTTTGTAAAGTAAAACGGTGAAAAAGCCATCAACTTTGATAACACGGCAAGCAGGCACGGCCCAGATGCTGGACGGAAGGTTTTGTGGAACTGAATTGAGGTAAAGCAGAGAGATTGATTGGACGACGTTCGAACCCATGCAGAACGTGGCTGCTGCAAGGGCGCAATGCTGATCCAAAACGGACCTTTCTGCATCCGTAACTTGCATGTTGCTATGTTGGAGACATGGGAAACGTAGAGTTTTCGATCCGTCGCCAGAGAACTCGATGTGCATCTATCGCCACCGACTGAGCATCACAGAGAATGTGAATTCGCATCGCTTTTCACTTCTCGATCTACGGTCAAATCCGATGGCGAATAATTTTTTGGGCGACGCGTACAGTCAACCTCGTTCCCAAAGATCAGGGCGAGGCGGTGATGTCCGTTTCGGTGCCGTGTCTCTGCAGCCCCCGGGTGGCGGTTGCGTGGAGGGATTCCGTAATTGGACTTTACAGAATAGTGGCCAAATTTGAAGCATTTCCTGGGGCTCTGATGTTGAGGGAATGCCTAGCCACTTTCCAGACGATTGTCCAAAGTGTTGAATGTGTCTTTTCTCCCGTCGGCCTGTCCGTGGCCTCTAACGCCCGAGTAAGGCGGTGCCGTTCGAGGTGAGGCATACAGTCATGTGGTGCTGCGTCTGGATCAACTGAGCGACAGAACCAGCCCACTTCCAAGGCCATCGGGGAGTGTGAGAAGATAATGCTCCGCATGAATGAGGACCTGAAGTCTAGTTCACACCGTTGCCCACGGGGGAGCTGATGTCGCGGCGCGCAGTTCGTAGCAAGTTCCCAGTGATTGAGTAAAGACACGATGTTTTGGATCACGTGAGGAGGCTCACGATTCCAGGAGGCAGAAACGACAGGCATAGCATCAGGGAAAGACTAGAGATGTCCAGTCCTTCCTCGTGGCCGGGTCGAAGGTTCTCGCCGAATAGAATCATGGCAGTAGCAGTTCGGTCGACCTCCTTCCTTCCTTCCATTATTTCTTGCATTCGTTGCTGACGCGTTCCTTCCTCCTTCTACAGGTCTTCCATCTACCCCTATTTCGAGTCATCGACCCGAACAAACCTCTCCTCCGATAGACCTTGCTTGCGAACGACATCGAATCAATATCAAACCATACGACACATCAGATCCAACATTTAATAAAGATGTCACTCTTTGCCCTATCCCATCTTGCCAGTCTCGAGTCCGAACGAATAACACGAATGGCAGTGGAATCAACACAAAGTCCTGTCCATACTGGCAACCGGCGGTGCATATACTGCAAAGAACCCACACTCGCGCACCACTGCAACGAGTGTCAATCCAACTGGTTTTGCAGCTCCAAGTGTCAGAGGGCAAAAGCCCACAATATTGATGCTGCCAACTACATGGCCCTTTGCCCCGCGCAGAACAAACGACTGAATACCCACCGTTACCTCGCCGAGTCCCTCAGAGCCGGTACCTGCGAGCCTCCCACTGATCCGCAAACACGACAAGACTTCGGGTTCGATCTTTGCCAATATGGCAATAAACAAGAGGAACGCCTCCTTTGGGCGACATACAAGTGCCTTGGCTGTTTCTTCGACCTCGACAGCGTTGTTATCTAGGGATGGATGATTGCCAGGGGCAAGTCACTACTCGCCGAGATGATCAAGCAGTACTTTGCCGAGGTTCGCCTTTTGACCAAAGATGTATACATCTGGTGGTTTCGCCATAATATCTGGGTCATCATACCTGAGGACAGCAGAATGGGATATGCCATGACAGCCCATACCGATCTCGTCCGGGAGTGCGCCAAAATGTCACGGGTTTCCTGTCAGATCCTGAATGGCTGGGACCGAGATCGAGAAAGCTGGTGGACCGGGCACACCATTGACTACATGGCAGCTCGCGTACGAGAAGCCATACGTTCGGTGGAACAAGAAGATCAAGCAATGGACGGGGTCTCGAGCTATACCTTGAGTGTCGGCAATACAGGCGGCGACTCCCCAAGTAATGATCCCTCGAGTAGTGACGCTACGTCAGGATAACGCAAACGATATCAGTCTCAAGAATGAAATCCCCGTGCAAGATATCTATCAGAAATACTCAAGCGTACAGTGGCAAGAGATATCGGCGTGCTTACTTTGAGGGACAGACCTCAAGTAATTATGAGTAGTAAACAAGTGTTAGAGACTTCCCACAGCGATACAGTTCCCCATGCGCAGGTTTCGTGCGTGTCTTACAAAGTCATAATCAGGCAGCTCTCCAAAGGGAAGACACCAATAAAGGTATGTAAAAAGAGGCTGGATCATCTATCACTATCGTTTCTGATTGTATCTGCAGGCTTTCCGCGCTCAACTCTCTGGTTTGCTACCTACGGGGCCATGGTGCTGGATGCTGGCGACAAACGGCTCGCTGCATATACTGCCAGACCTTCAATCTATCCGTTTGCTGGACAAAGGATCGAGACGACAAGGGTCATGGGATTCATGCTGTCCATTTGACCTCAAAGAACTTCTTCGTCTCTCAACAAGCTTCACTTGGGTGAATTCGAGAACCATTACCTCCAATTCTCCCCCTCTCGCATCAGCTACTCTTTTGCCTTCTTTCCACCAACTCATCCCTAACATTAACTCCTCTTAGCATCTGCCCTCATTACAAAAATCTCGCACCAGGAAAGGTTCGCTCTACTCTTCGCTCAACTTTGACTTGCTATTTCATTACTGGCTAGCCAATGGACAGCAAACAACCCCAAACACCAACAACACCATGGCCGAAGTCAACCCCACCAGCCCACCACCGAGATCCTGTTCAAGGACATTGTCGTGAGAAGACTTGGGACCGACCCACAGACCCTCAAGGACTTTTTCTTCGACCGCTGTATCACCACCAAGGGCCAGGAGAAACTCCACGCCGAAGAGATCATGGGTGCTGTCGCCGGCCCCGTTGACGACGATTGATACTTGGCTCGCATCCCTGTCTTCATGGAGGGTCAGACCCGTCTCCGCCACAAGAAGGAGGCGCTCGAGGCGAAGGGCGAGTATGTCCGCACCGTTCGCGGCACGCGCTTCAGCTCGGTGCCCAACGTGGACCCAGATGGACCTCCCGCGGCTGGCCACGCCATCTTCTGCCCTGATGGCTTCAATGGCGTGCCCCTTAGCGAGATCGCCCGCGCTATGCAGAGTATGCCTGGTGTGGTAAGTTTTTTACTTCCCTACCGGTTCTTGCAGATTTGTTACTGATGTGTACGTGCTGCACAGAAGGTCCATGTCTTTCCCTGCAAGTAAGCCGACATGGCAGAGAGATACACTTGATGGGTCGCCAATCGAGATGGAAACATGGGCGTACACTGATTTGCGGTTGATTGAGATACAGAGAATTGTGCCTCGGCCTTAGCAAGGAGGCTTGTGACAGTTTAGATAGTCTTTGAGAGTTGCCCGTCGAAACCGAATCAACAATACCATTCAGTCACCACAGTCCTTGTTCCTCTGGTGGCTCTTTGCTAGATAGTCACTGTGTACCTCGGACCATCAAAGCCAGCGGCGTTTGTACCAATGAAGGACGAAGTAGCTATTCTGATTGACAATGAATTGATTGAGATCTTGCATGGGACAAGGCTTGAAGGCACCTGTTGCTCTGAAAAAGCTTCGGCCTCAAGAATCCATGTAAGCGCTCCATCCCATCTTCAAGTAGTAAAGATCACCATCCAGTACAAGCACACACACCTACGCGTTGGTACCAACAACAAAACAAACACAGTGCTACATCACACCCAATACCCGATAGAAGCCAACCAACACCGAAAGAAACTTCCAAAAAAGAGCTACACTATGGAGAACGAGAAGAGCCAGACTTATTCCAACGAGGAGCAAGCCAAGCCCACAACCAGCTTTCTTCGAAGAGCAATGACACTGACTGAACTCCCGCAGACTCCGCAAGACCTGCCCGCCATGCAGATCTGGTTCTTCACTCGTTGCCAGTCCCACGACCAAGCCTTCAATCTCCTCCGCATCTACCAGACCCTCCTCATCGACCTCGACTTCACCCCGCGCGAGATCGAGGGCTGGCTGGCGCAGGGCCACCTCGGTCGTAACATCGTGATGCACTTTGAGAATAACCTAGGCAAAATCCCAGAGTCCCTGATGATGTGGTTGATGGCGCACATCTGGATCTTCGGTCTCGAGCCCGGTGCCGCGCTGCAGGAGGATGTGCCCGTCTTCAAGTTCTCGGATGAAGATAAGGAATTTTTGGGGCAGTTTGATGCTCCGCCAGAGTGGGCTGGCATGCGTGCCTTGGAGATCGAGTCTGCGATGGAGTGGGAGCTTGAGATTGTTAGGTCGTTGGCGCGTGTGAGGGCCGTAACGGAGCCGAAGGAATTTCTGAAAAAGTGGCTATTGGGTCCGGAGAAGGAGGAGGAGGAGGAGTATCCTTTGACGTGTGAGCGGCGCCTTGAGCCCGATAATTGGAGGAAGTTGTACTCGAGCTGGGAATGGCGGCAGAAGATTGTGGATATGTGGTATCGCTCGCCGCGGAAGGATTGGATGAAGAAATGAGGTGGCGAAGCCAGGTAAGATTATTTTTCAGTGAATTCTATGGATCTGCTTGACGAATTGATACCACGTTGATTCCATCAATGTGCCATGACTTACAGCTACATTGCGCTTGTTGCCAGTTATGGCGGGGAGGCGATTATCTGTGGCGCGGAGCAGGCGGAGGTGAGCGTACCAAAACTAGCTGCGGGTTGAGGCTTGCGCACTTGTAATGATAGTATAACGAATGGTTGTTTGGCGTCGAGGTCGGCCGCTTTCGAGAGGGCGTTCGATGGAGGGGCAATGAGGGGCGTTGAGCACAGTGCGTAGGATGTGGTGGGGGTCGATGCCATTGAGGCCGACGCTGAATCTTGTATGCGCTACCAGGTGATTACATACGATTTTTGGTGTTGAATATGATGGCCTTCTCAATTGGCAGTTGTTGCTCGCGGAATCATGGTGGTCTGGATGACTTGGCGATGAAGTTGATGGGGGTGGGGGCGAAGGAGGGACGCGGATGGTGGGGGCTTATGTAAGTGAAGCTGCCAACGTCAACCGTGGGAAGGAGCGGGTCCCAAATTCCTTCCTCAAGACGGACATATGGGGGAGAAGATAAGGAAGGAACAAAGCAGAAATTATAAGGCGCCTTCCATTAAAAAAGCAGTATTCTGTGTAAAGAGCATCGTGGTCACTTCAAAGTTTGCAAAAGGGAAGAATTCTTATGTCAGGGCCATCTCTATTAACAGCATGTCAATGTCAGCGGGTGCTGTACTACCTTATCAAGGCGACCGGTTCTCTATCTCCAAGCACAACTGTATGGCAAGACCTGCCGCATCCAAACCCAGCCATTGCACTTCCGTTTCCAAGCTCAATACGCCATATCGAAGCAAGCATCCGAGGGTATCGCAGAGAACAAGGTGGTGATGGTGTACGGTTTGTCCCATCAGGTAGCAAAAGGCACTGCGATGGTCAGCTCGAGCTCTCGTTGATGGGGAAGGGTAAGCTACTCACATCTGTGTAAACCTCATAATGCTAATGTCGAGCAATTGCCCTCATCATATCGAGGGGATTATCTTGCCAGTCTCGTCGAGCATTCAAGAGTACCAGTCAAAGTCGTCACCAGGTCGCTTACGAGCATCGTAGTACTCCTTCAACTCCTTCGCAGCGCGCGCAGCCTTAGCCTCGCTGACAAGATCCTCGGGGTCCCAGATGTACTGGTTCTCAAGGAACCACTTGTAATCACCCTGGTAATCATCCGGACCAAGCAAGACCTCAAACTTGGCCTTGATCTCCGCGGCCACATTCTTCAGACCATCCTCGTGGTGAAGCCACTCGTGGAGCTCTTCAGGCTTGACCTCAAAGTCCTCGAGGACGGTGCGGTAGACGTTGTAGAGCTTGCTCTGGTCGAGGGTGATGTAGCAGCGCGAGAAGCCGTAGTCGGCCTTGACCTGCGCGTTGGTGGGGATCTCGTCGTCCTGGATGGCGGCGAGGAGATCGTGGGCCGTGGTGCGCTTGGCGTTTTTGTTGCGCTTCGCGGGGGGCTTGTTCTTCTTGACCGCCTTGTTCTTGCTTCCCTTGGGGCGGCCGGGTCCCATGATGGGCTTCTTGCAGGCCGGCTTGGGCTTGCGGGAGGCAGCGGCTGTGGTGGTCTTCTTGGGGGCGGCCTTGCGGGCGGCTGGCTTCTTCTCCTCGGGGGAGGGTTCCTCGGGTGAGGGCTTCGAGGGCTTCGAGTCTGGGAGTTTCTTTCGGGTGGTGCGCTTGGGGGCAGGGTCCTCGGGAATTGTCTCGAGGACGGTGATGGCGTTGTTCTCCTTGGAGGCCATCTTTGTCAGTCTTTGTTGATACAAGAAAGGTGTGGATAAGTGGTGATTGTTGGAGGTTTGCAAGGAAAATTGCTAGGAGGAGGATGTGGAGAAAAAGAAAGGGATGGGAACGCAATGGATTGATGGAAGGGAATTGCTTAGGTAGGATCTTAAAAGATCTCTTTGTGGGAGCGGAAGGGAATGAGACACTCACCTCAGACGATCAGATCGGTTTGGAGTATCCGGAAGCTTCACCTCAGCTTCAATCGACCGGGAGACTTTTATACTCAGGCAGGTATGTGAAGATCAGCCCGGGGTAGGCCCTCACCCCGTGACTTCATAAATACTCCTCGTCTTCATTAACTACCCTTTATGCGAATACGGTCCTGGAATACGATGGAGGCGAAGAGGAGTGTGAAGGGGCGGTGGCTTATATGGGGTATGATGAAGGGGATCCTTCACACCCATGTGAGGACATGCGACGAAGTGCTGCCCATGACGTTCAGACTCTGTTGATTGAACCCTCGAACGCAGCCTAAAAACCCCTCCATTCTGAACATTAAATACCAGAGGGGAACAAGCATTCAACGCGTTTTAAGAAAGTAGATACATCATGCCTTCATCACTCTATCTCTCTCATTGCGAGAGCTATGCAAGACGATGGGATTCTCTTCATGATAGGCACTTCCAAACTCCTACTCCAACAAGCAATACCAAACAAAACACAGACAACCTCACAAGTAACCTCCCTCAAAAGCCAACACCTCACTCCTTCCACCGAACCTCGCCATCCGCCCCCTCAGCATCAAACGCCAAGAACGCAATCTTCCTAACCCACCTCTCCTCCCCAAACAACCACCTCCAATTCTCCTTCCTCACACTCCGCTCATGCTTCTGAGGCAAAAACCGCCTCGCCTGCTCCAGCTCAACCTCCATCGCCCACTCAATCTGCGCGACACTATACCGCTCCCACGCCTTCGGCCACCTCCCCTGCAGAAACGCCCGATCGTCCTCGGTGAACTCAAACACAGGCACATCGTAGTTCTGAATCTCGCCGCACCAGACGTGCTTATGCTGCTTCACCCACTTCCTTCGCTCCTTTGAGATCTTGTCCCCGGCAAAGGCGGTCTCGAGCATGAGGTGCGCGATGCGGTAGCCGAGGGATTTGTTGGATTTCCACTTGTAGAGCTCGTGGGAGGTGACGCCGAGGTCTAGGATGAGGGTGTTGTAGACGCCCAGCAGGGCTTTCGCGTCGTTGAGGGTGCGGCAGCGGGTAAAGTACCAGTCCTTGAGGACGTAGATATCTCTGGGGAGCTCGGTGGACGGGAGCGTGTCATGGAAGAGGTCTGGCTCGGCGAGGGTGGTGGTTGTCGTTGTCGTTGCGGTCGTGCTTGGCGTGAGTGTGCTGCCCGTAGTATCCATCTCGTCGGTTTATTCTCCTGTTGGTCAAGCTCTTGGGGGTAATTTGAATCTGTAGAGGGAGTGTTTGGTTGCCGGTTTGTTGAAGTTTCTTGCTGGTGTGGCTTATCGAAGGTGATAGTCATTGGTATTGTGGAAAGTTCTGGCTTATGTATTCCATCTCAGACTAAACCAACCCACAGCCAATGAAACATTGCCATTGTAGCCGTAGACAAACAATATCGAACACAAGGGATCAAGCAAGAAAGGTCAGATTGACAAAGAAGCTGTCAAAGCTGTTAGCGATAACCCAGATTGGACCAAGTCAAGGTGGTGCTTGTGTCCTCAAAGGCCCGAGGAAGAAAAAGGGCGGCGGCTTATTGCCCCGAGGGCCATCTATCATCATATTCGTCTACTGCTATGCTGCTGATGCGCATCAAACCGTGTAGCCAACTATCCCACCCAACAAAGTCTAGTAACTCTAGCCGGGTCGTTGCAGTGATGCATTCCAGCCATTGGGGTATCTCATGTAATACGATTGCTCAACATTTCCATAAAAGTCTTTTCCTACCGCCATTGCGTCTCCATCCCAACTCCTTCCAAGCGAGTATGACCCGCGAGCCCCCTCATTTTCCTGCGTCGTGCATTGCTCATCATGCTATATCCTTGCTCTCCAGTATCTTGCTTAGCTCCTTCAGCCGCACAGGTTTAGTCAGGAATAGATCGATGCCACTCGCAAACGCTTCTTGCTGTGCATTGGCTGATGCCAATCCCGTAAGCGCGATTATCAGACAGCGTGACAGGCTGTCTTTCGTCTCTATAGCACGAATCCGTCGTGTCGCCTCGAAGCCGTCCATCACAGGCATCGAGATGTCCATCAGAATACAGTGATACTCGCCCGGTGCTCGGCGGAACTCGTCTAACGCTTCTTGCCCGTCTCTTGCGTTCCGATAGTCGTGTCCAAGCCTCGTCATGTACGTTGCCAACATCTTGAGGTTGAGTGGGTTGTCGTCCACCAGGAGAAACTTGGGTCGAGATCCTCCCGTCTTCTTAGGTCTGTGAGACAATCGGGGGGTGTCTTGGCCATCGAGCGTTGGCCTCTTGGGATGTTCTTCCGGCGTGTCCGGTAGAGCGACATCCTCAGGCCTTGGCTCCGTTTCTCTCGCCTGCACAGCTTGGTCGTCCACACTCTGCTTTGCTTCGAATTCGGTATTTGGCAACTCCTTCGATCTCTCGGGGAGATCCTCTCCGGTCGGAACGTCTAGAAGGGCTTCGGTGCTTCCCACGTCCGTGAGTCTATCTTGTGCACACCCAGTCGGCGTGTCGCCGCCCGCGTTGGACGCTTCTGGGCTGGCCAAGGATAACATTGTAGGAGTTGGTATCGCCCGTTCTTGCGTTTTCGTCCATCGCTTGAAGCTCAGCAAAAGCACCTTGGCAAGTTTTCTCGGACCGATCCTTGTAGAAGAATTCTTAGCTGAAGCCGATCACTGATTCGGAACGTACAAACTTACGGCTGTGAGATGAACTCAAATACAATGCGATTACCGGTGAATCGTGCCGAGGTAGCTAGTTGGCGCGCGATAAGCGCGTTCCGGCATATCACCACGACCGGTGTGTTAATGATGCCTAAGCGGCGCTCCGTCAAAAGCTGCTCTAGTTGCTTTTCTGTAGACAGAACCAAGTCGGGAAGGAGTTGTTGCGAGGGCGGGATGGACTGGTCAATGATTTGCATATGAAGCCATTCCCTGCAGAGATTTGTGACCAGTGCTCCTTCGCTGGGGGTGTTGCTGGCCAACTCGTCGGGCATTTTGACTCCGTAGTCTTCAGGGAAACCCAACAATTTGACTCTTAGACCCATGAGTTCGCCGACAGATGCCCGAAAGGCATCAATGTTGCCATCTTCCACGTTGGCTACCGTTGATGATGCTGGGTTGGCGCATAGCAAGGGAAGTTGAACCCTCACTTTCGTCCCTCGTCCGACCTTACTCCATACCTGGATAGACCCACGCAGCTTGCTAACTATCCGCTTGACCAAGCTTAGACCGAGACCGGCTCCGGCAGAAAAAGAGTCCTCCTGAGCGAAGGGCGCGAATAGATGATGTTGTAGGTATTCATGACTAATGCCACGTCCAGAATCTACCACGTCGATTTGAATGATAGCCTTGGTGGATGGTACATCAGTCAACGGGGCCAGCTGGTTAACATTGACGTTGACGAATCCCTTTTCTGTGTACTTGAGCGAGTTCCCTAGGAGATTCATGATGACTCGCCTCAAAGCTCCAGGCTGGGTATGGAAACCCCAGGAGACCGCGGGTGAAATGTCGAAAGTGACGGATACGTCTCCGAGGACGAGTTGTAAATCCCCGATATTGTTGGTTCTCGTCGCCATTTCTTCCATTGCTTGCATACTGTCAAGTCTGCGTAATGCCGTAGTATCGGCGTGGTCTGTCGGTCTATTGCCCGCAAGTTGGGCCACAGAGACGCGTTGGTAACTGAAACCAGCACAAACACTCTCGACAACCTCTTCCGACAGAACGTCGACTTCGACATTTGATGTGATGCTCATCATACCAGCTTCGATGCTAATCTTTCGATCCCGAGCTCTCAAGCCTCGCTCACCAAATGTGGTTGAGTTTCTCCGGTGCTTTGACGGGCCGATGAAGTTGTTGATCTTGCTCCAGTCCAAGAGATGGTCTATTGTTTCCAGCAGTGTGCGACCACAATTTTCGATCGAAACCAATGTCTCTCCCTGGAAAGCGTCCATGGTGGTATCGTGCAACAACTCTGCGCCAAGAATAATGCCGTGGAGCGGGGAGCGTAGCTCATGAGAAAGTGAGCTCAACAGGTCCGTCTTCGCCTTGTCAACAAGCATCGAGCTGACGTGATCGACCTCTGACATGATGACTGATGCAAAGGCGCGTAGGTAGCTGAGCTCGCCTTCGATGGTAAGCACTCGAGTTGGAGTCTTGGTACAGGCGAATCCACCTGCGTACCAACGTTGCTTTTGTACGTCCCACAAAGGTATGATGGCCATGCTTCGGGTTCCTGAAAATAGGCCGCTGAGAGTTTTCCCTTCGTTTCGTCTCGAGTAGGCACGCTTTCGTTTCTTGTTTCGTTGCCGTTCGTCCTCGGTTGGGCCCTGTATAAAATCTACTATCTCCTGAAGTGGTGTTTCTGGCTGTGCGATATGGTCGTCGCCGGAATGGTCGCTGGATTGGATAGAGCCGTTCTCGTCGAAGCTGAAAATTTTACCTTGCGGATATCTTCGTAACAATTTCGTAAGAAACTTTTCGGATACGGAGGTGTGATTCAGAGACGGTATGTCTCCGTCGACGCTTGAGATAGATGAGCTCGAGAAGCCGAGGACCGCACATAGGCTGTCGTCTTGGTCGCTATCGCTGCCCAAAACACTCCCGGTACTTCGACTGGGGCTTGTTTGCTCGTCACTAGATGATGAGGATGAGCCTCGGCCCCTGGCAGACCTCATGTTGGTCGCTCTAGGGACAGCAAGCCCTCCGAACGAGCCGATACTGGCGTCCACAAAAAGCACGCTCTCAACCTCGATAGCTTCTCGAACAATGTTGGCGGCCTTTGAGAAAATGTGCCGAATATGTGATATGTGCGAGTCACCGTCTCCCTGCGAAACACTTTCTGTCCCTGAGCGAATACTTTCCAAGGAGGCCCCAGACACAGATGGCAGTGCTTCCGAGTCTTGGTTTGGCTGAGGATAAGGTCGAGAATCCGCTGTTGGCGAGACTGGCTTATCATCTGGTGCTTGGACTTTTGGCTGTGGCGCATTCTGCATCGCAACAGCAGACGACTGATGTTGTTGTGTTTGAGAGGTCTCGAATGCCACCTTTTCTTTGTTGCGTTCGATCCTTTGCTGGTTCTTGTTCAGAGCCCCCTCAAATGACGGGTGGTCATTGAACGAGTCAATATTATTCATGTCCCTCCATCCCGACATGGTGCTCTTGCCCTCGATGAAGCTGCCAACGCCGCGAACCATCCTGTCTGCGCGTCGGTGATCGTCCCTGTTCCGTTTTGCGTCGAGGTAGTTCAAGATCACTTTCGAAATATCCTGCATAAGTTGATTTTCCACATTGTCAAAGCTTTTGCGCGGGGTATCTCCGTAGATGCTAAAGACACCAATGTGTATACCGTTTTGTGAACGGATTGGGACTCCGGCATAGAAGCGACATTGCGGCGTGTTGAGACAGAAGGCTCGCTGGGAGGTCCTAGGATCTTCAGAAAGGTCTGGAATAACGGTAACAGGTAGCTGATGGGGACCCGAAGGATGTTGTTCGTCGAGGTGATCGGAGATTGAGAGGATGAGCTCGCATATGCCGGAAGATCGTGGGATAGCAGTGCCGCACAGTAGCAGCTGGTCGATATCCCCGCGCTGGGTTTCTGGAGGATTGGTGTCGGGAGTCAGAGCCAGTGACTGCGTAGCTTCAGCAATGACGTACTGATACTTGCTGTCGAAGAGGGATATCATGGCCCGGGTCGCATTCAGGCGTAGAGCGCCGAGTTCAGCGAAGGAAGTGAGTGCCGCATCAGGACATGACCGAAGTTCCGAGGATGGCTTGAGATTGTTTGGGTCGTTGTAGACTGTATGTGCGATCAAGGAACTGTCATATCTGCGGAGGCGGTCAGGAAATTCAATACTAAAGATGAGCGAAGCTTGCATTGACGAAAAGCCGTCGAGGCCGATAAAGAAGCACTTTGGGGCGCGGACCTGAATGTCTCCCTCTCGCGGCGACCCTCAGAGACGGCCTTGGCCGGCGGAGTATTGACCATGGCCGGGCAGCGTGAATTGTATATCACGAGAGACCGGCCGCTCCTCTGTCGGTTCTACTTGGTTGCGCAATATGGGTCGAAGCACGCCTTGATATCCGCGGGCGAGATATTATTGACCTACACTTTTCATGTCAACTTAAGCTACTATGTGCGCGACCAGAAACAATTCCGAGAAAGAATCATGCCGGAACATTTTGCGACCGAAATGCACTTGTCTGTGGCTATCAAGGAAGGCAGGGGGGGAACGAAGAACTTCTAAACCAACCGGACGCAAGTGGGGGGGATGAGGTTGAAAATACACACAGTGCCCCTCCCTCTTCCCACGATGGACTGGCTAAAGAAGGCCTTCGTGGGCATGCATCCCTGCGTCACCAGGCATATGGTGAGTTGCTCAAGACAAGCGGCTGGAGACAGGCAAGAGTACAAGAGGTGTATAGAGCACAACTCTATGGAAGGTAAGGCTGATAGAGGGGCATAGAGGATTGCCAAGGCCAACGCAAGAGAACAGTGGGAAAAGGCGAAGGAATGGGAACAAGCAGGTGTACCAAGATTGGTAGAATGGGCAGAAGATAGGGATACACTCACAGACAGGCAGCCGTCACCGCAGATGATTGCTTGTTGGGAGAGGAACGTCGCAAATGTCGCAGCCTGTCTAGAACATGGCGGGCGGAGGTGGGAGGAGTAGTGGAAAGGAATATGGCAAATGAGAAGATGGCAAACGTGAAGATTGCGATGGAAATGACGATGCGCTGGACGTTGAAAGTGATGTATCGTTCAGGTCGCGCTCTCTCTCTCTCTCTCTCTCTCGGTTGGGCTGGGCTAGGGCGGGGGGGCTCAGGTCGGATGCCGAAGAGGGCTGGCTCGAGTGATGCGGGAGGTTCGCTTGAGGTGAGGAAGGGAGGCGAAACCAGGCGAATTACCCAAGGGCTAGGCGCAGGAAGAACTCGCCGCAGATCGATCTCCCCCGGTTCAAGATTGCGGGAAGAGGTTGGCAGAGGAAGTCAAGCATGGAATAGAACCAGAGCAAAAGCACAAAGACTGGAATCGGCAAATTGCTGGGGCCAAGTTTCTGGTGGCGATTGACGCGGGATGGGTGAGGTAAGCGGTTGTTGACCTCAGAGACTGGACGACGGGATGGAGGGAGCTGAGTACAGATAGAGTACCTAGGTAGGTAGAGACTAGAGAGCAGGCACGCAAGACACGAGCAGAATGCTCCTGCCAGAGCAGCAAGCAAGCACGACACGGGCCGCCAGGCGAGCAGAGAAGGAAGGTTGAGGTGAGCGATTGACAAGGCCACTGGCCAGGTCCAGACCCACGGTGGATCCTGCTCCGTATCGGGGTGCTCTCCTGGCTCTCTCATTGGCTTTGTATCACAGTGCGAATACTTCAGGAAGTACTTGTGCGAAACCTTGGCCTTTGGCATCTGGTCCCAATGGAAATTTCAGATGGCCACACTGGAATTCGCAAAAAGTCGGACCGAAATTGGCATAGTGCCATCCAACATCCCCCCCCCCAATGCCCTGCATCAACAGTGCTGCTGCACAGTGTTTTCTAAAAATTAATGAGTAGGTACCGGGCATAGCCATCCGTGCCATCCTGCTGCTGGTTTCCTTACCTAAGCTAGTCGATATCGAGATTTCAGAATTTCGATGCGCACCTCACCGAATTGCCACTTTGGCCCGATTTAATGGCGTCACATACGTCACTCCGGAAGGCACTCCACAGTTGTCCATCGGCAAAAGCCATCATTCTCTCGATCCTGCTTTTTCTCTTGTTCTCTTTGTTTTGACGGATTACCGTCCTTTCGTCACTTCACGATTGGTCTTATCTTTCCCCCATGGTAGGTGGTGGCAGAATGCAGCATCTACGTTTTCCAATGCCCTCCCTACCTTACCCGTCTCTACACTTGGACCAGCACCCCCCCTTGTGACACGCTCTGTAGACCTAGGCCTGGGCCCTTCATTCTGTCGTACCTCACAGGCTAAGGTAAGTCAATACACCCTGGCCACATCCGGTCTAAGGGCGGGGTTTGATTTAAAATACCTCTGGAATTGGATCATCTCTGAGCTAAATACACTCAATTTTGGAATTTTCCTCGGCGTTGGAAGCTACCTACTTTTTCTGCAAACCTGTGGTTACGAGCTGCAAAAAGGAACGAGGTACTGGGACTGCTTTGATGCATGTTTAGAACTATTGTTGTATGCGGTACATGCCATGCGTATGAGGGTGTGGTGTGCTCGTGGTGACTCTTATGCATAGAAAGAAACGTACCGTAACAAACGGAGATAAAGACAGGAAACCGCCATGTATGCAGCCAGCCGCCAGCAGGAATACCAGACTCTACTACTGGGCACATGCTGGGCGGCGGGCTTTGTTCAGTACCACTGTAACAGTACTCCAAAAAAGGGCCCCGCGATGCCTACGCTGGCAATTTGGGCGACTGCTCGACGGCGCTGTTTTTGATGGCATCTGATTGGATACTGGGCGGAAAAGACTCCGGACCAGCCAAACTGCAAAAGTACAAACATCTCCTCGTGGGGCCGTCGCGTCGCCGAGTCCACTGCAAGCCTCACAAAATGATAGAGCAGGTACGGATAGAACTTCGCCGTGACTCGTCCCTTACAGCCCAAAGGCTACCCATGCAGCAACGACAATGAGAGAAATGCCTAATGGAAATGCAACATTGAACATATTCGTGGATGCTCTTCGGAATAGACTCCTGCCACAAGACTTTCCCGTAACCTACCTTAAGCACCCAATGAGTGTACTTCCAAATATGCAGGGAAAAGGCCAGGGCTGATGGCTGTGGACCATGGTCTGGACCAAGCCTCCCGTCACGTGCATATACCGCTGGTGTTGCATCGACCCGCCTCTTTGATATAGCCAATCAAAAAAGAGGCCGGCTGGACCGGGGCCAAGCAGCAGGATCAGATCCCCTCCAGATCTGGGTGCACAGACCACATGCCATTTCTCGAATGTCTTAAGTAATCACACAAGAAATTGACCTTATCGCTATCATTGCTCTTATCTGTTATCTAATCGCCCACGCTTCCAATTTCCATTTATTTCGGCAAGTGACGATTCCCAACATCAACAACAACAACTCGACAAAATAATAAACGGACGACACTCAGGACCACCTACCAGCTTGTCCTCTGCTATGATCATTCCATCAGTCACGGGTCGGAAGTATCGCAATTGCCTCGAGCGAACAGCGGTGGAAGTAACAGCGCAAAGCTGCGCTGAAGCCCTGAAGACGTTCTCGTGCCACAGCGGTTCTGTCGAATGTCGGCTGTTTATCCGTCTTTGCTTCTTCGCTACGACTTCGTCTCCGATCCACAAGTTGCTCAGCCTTGCTCAATCACATCTGAGCGACAGTTGTTTCCAGTGATATCGATGCTCTTCTCTTGTTGTCTTCAGTGTCTAACCATACCGAGGCAGTGCTGTTTGATAACCGGTGGCGACCGATCGCTCGAATGATAAAGGCTCAGCCTTCAACTCGAGTTCCGGCCGTGGAGGACCCTTTGTCTGCTGACAACCCCCGGGTGGCGTCTAGAGGACCTGGCTGTTTTCACCTCAATTCTGTGCCGCAGCGGGAGAGGCTGCGGGTGGAGCATGTCGGCGTCCCGGTGCCGCGTGATCGACAGTATCGAAAGCATAGACAGTCGTTGCGATGAAGATCTTGCCGTTGGCAAGCCCGCCCGGGCCACGCACTCCGGGACCGAAGGATGCTGCTGCTGTCCGAACAAGATGATGGACGCCAAGGTGGGCCTGTCAGACTACCGCCATGACCTTTGCCCATGGTCAAACTCACCATCGAAAAACCTGCATGTCCCGTGGGCGATGCAAGTCTTGGAAGTACTGCAAGTGCAGCAACTGCACGCGATTCGGCGGGGAATATCCGCATTAGGTCCATGGAGAGCCTTGGTTGTTGTCTTCGTGACGGTGCACGCTTGATCGGCGGTGCGGCACTACCTGAAAGTGTGAGATCATTACTGAAGACTTTCTGTTCGCAAATTTTGACTCAACGCCAATGCAGTGTGTTGGCGATGGACGACAATAGTCTCGGTGGAGGAAAGCAATAGTCTTGAACGGGACTTGCCAGTTATCGTATTCGCTGACTACGTCGGTGTAGCATGGGAGCAACGTCAGCGACGCTGATGGACCAACCATCCGAGCAACGCGTGGCATACAGCGGCCGCCTTCGTCAACATCCACGACTGCTTCGAAGCGCTTCTGCCTACAAACGAAGACGAGAGAGGGACCAGTCATTCCCGCATCATTCGCCTCAAGAAGTTGCGTGACGCCTACGATTCGATAATTGGGATTTCGCATCACGAGATGCACGCCACGCGTTGGGCCAGAAATAATCCGAAACAGTTTTGGACCCCAAAGTGGCCTTTTTCGATACTGAAGGCGAACAAGGGCCCTCAGCCACAACGGTGATGTCAATCACTCCATTCACCCTCCTCTCCCAGAGACAGAGACAGAGGCAGAAGGATGGAAGAAGAGAGTAAGAGAGTTCGGATTCGGGCCCGTCGGGTACAAAGCAAGGACTTTTCTACCCTTTCGATCCACCGCGGGGACTGCATACGCATAGTTCAGACTGCTTGTCATGCATTCGGATGAAGTCATTCGGCATCTTCCGCGGTGGGGGGCAATTGAGCTCGTCTTCCCAAGGGTCTCCGGGGCAGAGCGGAAGGGTCCCCGACGGAGGAAGACAGGGACGGAGAGTGATCCCCACCCGGCCGTTCTCCAGCGGGGCCAGGCCCGGTGATGCCCATGAGCAAGTCGTCCCGTTGCTCAGGATGGGAAGTCCGCTTGGCGGAGGAGCGCCGGTCTCGACGTGCGACACGCCGATCACAACGCCAATTGCTGTCGAGGTTTTAGACTTGGCTCTTAGCCCCGCGTAAGCCATGCACCACTTACACCACTGTCAATCCATATCGCCACGTCTCACCTCCCGCGACGGCTTCGCAATGGCGCGATTGCCGAACCTTCTAACGCGCGTAGGGCGCTGATCAATCATGCCGATCAGCAACTTCTCAAACGGTAGTCAACCGCTCGACTTTCTGGCATTCACACTCAGCGCCCTGCTTGAACGAGAAGAATAAGCAAAACACGAAGCACACAATCTCAGTATCCGAAGTCAAGCGGCGAATCTTATCTCGGAGATGGAATGGTCTCCCACTATCTCCAATGACCCCTATTGACATGGAGTAGGAGAACCCCTACAGGTCTCACAAGCCCTTATGCGATCGACGAATTGTTTGACCTCGGCGAGAACAAGCAACACGAGCTCGACGAGGCTACTCAATTGGCTCTGAAAGGCTTCACTCCATCTCAACGTACCTTTGCTGTTGACATCTCGTAGGATTGTCCCTCTGGGCTCAACATCCTCCCGCAGTCCTTCATCCCTTTTCACTGCATTAGACCCCGCTCAGATCGCGGTTGCATGCGTCACAATAGTCGCCAGGGTTGGTGGAAGAGCATGCAATGAGCAATAAGCAGAATCCAATAACTCCCCTCCGGCAGCAAAACGGCTCACACCAGCAATCAAGCATCACCCTGCGGTCTGATGTACGGAATTTCACGCACTCGTTCATTTCCGTGATAACAATCAACACCGTCCGACCATCCCCCAGATATCTCATCTGGATTTAGCGGACCAAAGACGTGCATGAAAATGGATACTCTTCCGCGACTGGTCCTGTGCTCGGGATCCTTTTGCGCACCGAACTCATCCCATTTCAAACGACCTAATGAGCGATTGGACATGACCGACGGATGCGTGCGTGAGAGCTCGACAAGTTGTTCTCCTCTTTCTCGGCTACCTGCACCTTTATCATTCCTCCTCCTCTGTGTCACTCTCAGACTCGGCCAAGTTGTTGTTATTGACGGTTGCTAGTGGAAGGATTGAGGGGTAATCTTTCCTTCTTCACTTTCCCCTCACTATCTGACTCCGAGCCTTAATAGAACTCAAACAAGTTGAGACGAAGGCTTATGTACGAGCACAGATGGACCAGTGAATGAGCGCGAGACCAGTGTGGCCATGAGGCAGGGGCCCGTGCCAGCGTCTCTATGGGCTTTCTTTGTTGGGGTGATCTACCCTATCTGGCCTTTCTCGCGCTTTTTCCTCTGTGCCATTCCCTCCCGGAATCTCACCCACACCCCGCGTGCCGGCGGCGCTTTCAGCTGACAAGCATGACACCTCTAGGCATCGTTTCCGCGGGGATTTCGTGATATTTTTCCTCAGCGTCGGATACCCACTGCTTTTATTTTGGACCTAGAGGCTTTCATGATGAGACGATGTGGCGCGCTGCTGTCTCACCCAACGTTCCTGGATCGTCTCTGTCTCCATGGCCGCACCAGCAGCGGCCCATAACAGTCCAGGCCAGCTATCTAGTCAGCTCTATCTCTCACACAATTCGTCTGTCATTCCTCCTGTCGGCTGCCCCTTGCTTCCACTGCAGTGCAAGGCGAAAAAAGAAGCAGGGCTATAGAAAGCGATGGGAAAGGGGTGGGAGGGGCCAGTCAATTGGGCTGGGGAGAGAGTGAGGCGCTTTCTGGCGCCCCAGCCAGTCGGTACCGAGCCTGTGCTGCTGAGCAAACCGCCGATCTCCCGATGTCGACCATGGCACGGCAAAGCAAGGTTGCGGGGAGGGGTTGGCCATGACGAACATTGAATGGCAAACGAGCAAAGTGGCCGGTCGATGGTTCCCTTCTCGAATAGCGCCAACGCGTAGTGAGCCTACCAGTCGACAAGTCATCGACACAAGCGTCCCCGGCTACCAGGAACTATCGACCGGGCCCGAAAGTGAATGGGCGTCGAGGGCAAAATAGCATCTTGTCGGGAACCTGCAAACTCTCTTGACTCACCATAGCAGGGACCTTGTTGCCACAGTCACCGTCTCAACTTATTTGCATCTGGAGCATCTCAGCTGCGAGCGAATCGCAGGGTCAAGGACGATGAAAAAAGTTCAGCTTACCGCCCGATGAACCAATACTCATCGCCAATCAAACGGCTGCGCCGCCATCCCTTCCCCTTACTGGGCTATCTTCCGTGGACGCCTGTTTACCTACGGCAAATCGCGTCGCGATCGATGAGCTTGGTGGGTTAGCTTGGACACCTGCTGCCCAGCTGGCCGGCCCAGAACAGCGCCACCAGTCGACTTAGTCATTCAGCTTGGCTTAATGGCTGGCGCCCTGCTTGGTCTTTGCGCCGTTGGTCACTGGTGCTTTAGCTTGAGCTACTCTGATACCAGTCTAGACTGAGCCGCCCAGACCACGCGGCACTTCTCGTCGGGTACAGCCCCCCCCCCCCCCTCCCTCCTCTGAGTCTTCCCCCTATTGTTGCAGGCAGTCTTAGGCAGAGTCTCTGTATTGGGTTTGGGGGTTGGATGGCTACATATGCATACGAGCGAACCATTGAGTTCACCATTGATGCGCATGAATTCGTTTAACTCGCCGTGTCTGCGAGTGAAGACTTTGTGAGGGCGTTCACCCACCCTCAGCCTCCTTAAGTTAGGTGGTGACGATGCAGAGATGCTTGGCACAAGGCTATGCTTGCTCATTTGCCCCTTATTTTCACTTCTTCAAGACCGTTAGGTTCGTTAATCACCCCCAATCAGGATTTCTTGGCCGTCCTCACCCCGCAGAGATTGTATGCTGATTGTAGAGGGATCATGCCGGGCGGTTCCGTCAGTGCGGCACGATGGGCGCCACAAGACACACACCCTACCTTCGACCAGTCGGGTATCGAGGTTCAGCTAGCTGACCGACCATTAACATGCTACGTGAAGCTGCGTGACCTTTAGTTCAATTAGTGGGGGAGCCATTCCAGCCCTACTTGTGCAGGCGACAGCAGGTTACCTAGCAGCCTGCCAGCGGATGCTGTGCCACCTCATCGACCCTCACAAGCACAGAGAGGACAACTGGGGAGGAGGCGCTGATGCATGGACTCACACATGTCTGCTGACGCTAGCACCGCGCAAGCACGGAGAAGCCACCACCGCCATTCGGTCGCGGGATTGTTGTTATGGATGATACCCGTACCCGTCTTGGAAGAAAAGGGTTTGCTCGAGGCTTGCTTGGAAGAAGGGGGGGGGGGGGTGGTCGAGGTGTGTATTCAGATACCAACACCAGGGACCCTCAATGTCTCACACCCTGTGCACGTGGCGTTCGTCTATCTGAGCCTCCGAGGTGGCCACAAGGGACCCAAGAAGGTTCAAGCAACGCAGGGAGAGGGGAGGCAAGTAGTGGGAACACCCATCTCTCCAAACTTCCCAGAGTAGATATATGACCCTCGCCCGCTTCGCACGACTTTCCATAGTGAGAGAGGTTCCCCATCATCGATCAAACGAATTCTACGGACAACCGACTACTTCTTACACAGTCCTGCCCGTTCTGGACTACAATTCCACTTCCACTCTCAGGACGTCCGGTTTCATCGACACTTACACCATCCTACCTCAACACTTATATACGACTACCACCAAGATCTCAGCAACCATGCTGTGTATCCTCCCAGACGAGCTGCTGCTCATCACAGGCGTCACTGGCCACGTCGGATTCGCCGTTCTCACTCACGCCCTGAAGGCAGGCCACACCGTCCGCTGCGCCGTCCGCTCAGAGGCAAAGGCTGCCTTCATCCGCTCGCGACCTCAGATCCGCGCCCTTGACCTACCCCGCGCGAGACTCAACTTCACCATCGTACCAGATATCACCACCGATGGTGCCTACGACGATGCCATCCGCGGCGTCTCTGCAGTCATTCACGTTGCTTCACCACTTGCGACCGCCGACTCAGTACCTCGCGATCTGCACCAGGAGTACTTCATCCAGCCCGCCGTCCGCGGCACCCTCGGTATGCTCGAGGCCGCCAAGCGTGCGGGCACTGTTCGCAGGGTAGTCATCACGAGCTCAGTCGTTGCCCTTACTTCAGTAGACCACCTCGAGGGTCGCGAGCGCAGGGAGGCTGTCCAGCCCACGGAGAGGACCGGCTTCAAGCCTGAGCCGTATGAGAGCGAGTTCGCCGCCTACGCCGCCTCCAAGGTGGCCGCTCTCAAGGGCGCCGAGGCGTGGATTGCGAGAGAGCAGCCCCGCTTCGAGGTCATTCACCTCCACCCTTCCTTTGTCATCGGCCGCAACGATATCGCGACCACGGCGAGCGAGGCGATGAAGGGCACCAACGCCGTCATCCTCGCCACCCTCCGCGGCAAGAAGATGGGCTGCAGCTACCCCGGCGCAACAGTCCACGTCGACGACGTCGCGCGCGCACATGTCCAGGCTCTTCTGCCCACCGTCCCGGGCAACAAGGGCTACATCCTCAGCACCAAGTCCCGCTGGAACGACGCGAAGCTCATTGCCAAGAGGAGCTTCCCCGAGGCCGTCGAGAGGAAGTTGATTGTCAGCAGCGGCTCCGTGGGCACGGTCAACATTGACTTCGACGCCTCTGCTTCCGAGGAGGTGTTTGGCTTTAAGCTGCAGGGTTTTGAGGAGCAGGTGCGCAGTGTTGTTGGGCACTTTGTCGAGCTGAGACTAAGACGCCCTGCGCTACCGACGGTTGCTTCGTCTTCGATGGCGGTGAACCAGCATTTGAGGCCCGAGGTTGTGGCCGCATAGAGAGTTTTACGGCCTGCTTGACGACTTTTACGAGCATTTTCTCTTCTCTTTCTACTTTCTACGTTGGACATTGGACAGGTCAACAGACTGCATCGGGGTACAAGGCATTTCACTTCAATGGGGGAAACGGCCGACTGTATCAGCCAGTCAAGGCGCATTGGATTGGAGAACATATTTTCATCATCATTCATGGGAGACTGGGAGAGACTGGGCAAAAAGGCAGCATTCGATTCACAACGGGATACCCAGCGGATTAGCTTCCGCACCAATTTACTTTAGTGTATATACTTTTGGGTTTTTCTAAAATCCACAACAAGAAATTTTTAGAAGTCATCCATCGTCCCATCCGTCTTACATGTTCGTGTTCCTTTTCTGCTTCTGTCTGCTTCAACCCACGCCCACGCGTTCACGCTTACTCACCCTCCCGCGTCCCACGCCCGCTCCCAGGCACGGGAAGGGGTAAGGTAGGGAGCCGTGGGAGCGCAGTGAGGGGGGAATTGGGGGGCTGAATCACGGCCGAAAAGGTCTGAGGGATTTCCCTCACCATTGGGCCCATGGGAGTAAGGACCATGGTCCAGAGACCATGGACCACCAGCTGAGCTGCTGAAGGGTGAAGAAAAAAGGGCGGCGGGCCCGGCCCCAGAGGGCACCGGGCGCGCCGTTCAGCCTCAATCTCCGACGGTATGATAGGCTCATTTCTCTTAGGCGGTTCTCAGTTCTTTCCTATGCGCTATGCAGCCTTGGGATTGGGGGGTTTTTTCGGCAAGGGGTGTGTTGTCTCACTTGTTTTGGTCAAGCAAGGCAAGCTACCCCAGACTACCTGGCCTTGCATTACATACGTGCACTCTGAGGAAGAGACCAGACCGGATTATGGATTCTAGAGCGGTGGAGAAACACACGTGTACAGAGGGAGAAGAAATAATCGCTAATTTTATCACATCGTGGTTCTTGTCTCTGCGTGGGTGGGAGTGAGGCTTGGATTCCCCTCCTCGTGTGTTTTCGAAGAAGAGGTTATGGGTTCGGTAAACTATCTTGTTGATTGTTGGTAAGGCGTGCTACTAGGTCAAGTAAGGAATCCCACTCGGTCAGGCGGTATTATGTGATTCCACCCGATTACTCTAACCTACCTTAGCTCAAAGTGCAGAACTGTATTTCCCTAGGCTCATGTCCTCAGACGTTGGAGCATTCCCCCTGCTGAGAAACAGCCAGAGTATCCCACTCGAACCGCGCATTTCCAACCAGTCCAACGCCAAGAACCATCCCGATCTATGTGAAGCTCGAGATCCTGCGACACGGGTACCTGTGTCGAAAAGACCAGCTGATCAGGATCTAGGATCTCTGCTTTTGAAGTGCATTCCCTGTGGAGTTCGCTTCGCCACGCTCTCTCCCGTCTGAGGAAACAGAGGATGGAACAGCAACGGTTATGCCGAACTATGTGGGGTTGCGAAGGGGGTTTGGATGGGATGGGATGGGATGGGATGGGAGGAGGAGGATGGATTGTGGGGGGAGCTCGAGGAGTCGAGGGCGTGTGAAACGGACACATTGTATGCTCGCGGCTCGTCCTTCGTCCTTTCGCGGCTGACTTTAGAAAGCGCGGTTGGGTTCGGCGCCGCGACTACTGTGTTTTCCCGGGCTCGGTGAACAGATGCCGCCGGTGTTTGATTCTAGCCTTCTAGGTAACAAGCTTTCCTCATTTTCTGTTGTGACATTTTCCCCGAATGCCAAGACCGCGGCTCTCTGTGAACTCGCTTGAGAGTTTTTTCAGCTCGTGAAGGCCCAAGGGAAAAGTTCTAGACCTCGAGAAGAGTCTTTTTGCCCCGGCAGTCTGGACCCCTTCGGACCCAAGAGATTGGTTAACAGGCGCAGTGACTCCCGTCCTGCATGCAGCCTTAAGGGCCCTTCCAGCGACTCTCACCTGAATGCACTGTCGCTCACGCACTCTAGAAAAGAAGAAAAGATAAGAGAAGCGTGGGAAAAGCCCTTGATAGGTCTGAGCTACGCAGTGTCTTGGATTAAGCGAGGAGGTCGAGTTCTGGCGGGAAGACAAGCAATAACGCCAACATTTGCCGAAGACGCTTCGTTGGTGTTTTTCGCTGTTTGGACGCCTCGAGCGTGGGCAGATGAGACTTGGTATGGCTTGTGGCTGATGAGTGGCTTTTTTTCTGAATCCACACCCCATTGCCAACGGCGTCAGGGCGTCAACAAGATTCAACTCTGGAAGAGTGAAGGATCGTGAGATTTTTCGTTCGTCTAGAGCACCGTATCTCATCATGGGATCTCCGTACTTGGTAGAGAGGGGAACCTTTGCTCGTAGGGGATGGGCATCCACGTCAAGGTTCGATAGCATGATCCTTCTGACCCACAGAATCCTTCCAACATGAGTCGAACATCACGAATCTCCTGCCTGGTGTAGCAGGCAGCAAAACCCTTCATCGTCATCATAATCCATGATTTGCAGCCGGATTACTGGAAAAGAAAACAGCCGTTGAACTAAGTAAAACGAAGGAACAAAGTATTGCGGAGCCACGTCCGAAAGTCGTTTCGCTCGTCAGCGCCAAAACATCGCAAGGACGAATATAGCTTCTTTGTAAGCAAGCCACCGCCAGGACGACTGACTCGAGTTTCTTCTTTGCGATGGCGCACTTCATCCCGCCGGCATCTAGCGGTTCTCGTGGAGGCTTGGGTTCGGGAAGTGGGGACGATGATGAGGAAGAGTTGTTGTTCACCGATGAAGAAGACGAACCTAAGATCAAGGACGAGCTCACAATTGTTCTCGACGCGTCTAACCGGGAGAGGTGGTCGGATGTGGTTTTGGAGGCGCGGAAGCACATGCGGTGCCACCCTAGACACCCAGGACGCGTTCGCGACGGCCGGAGAGTGTGCATCTTGGTTGATTCCTCCTCATCAGACGAAGAAGACGAGAAGAATAAGCTTCCAGTCCGTCGTCTAGAGCCAAGCCCAGCGAACCCCACAACGTTCACCCTGTTCACCCGACTGCCGAAAGAACTTCGGGATAACATCCTCCTCACGGCCGTCGACCCCATCACCATTGAGGGCTGGGCCAAAACCGACCTCGAGTGGCGGAACGGGCCCCAAGCGCATTTCTTCCTCCGCCGAATCAGGTCCTGGGCCGCCATACCCCTCTACGCCGTCAGCCGGGAAACCAGGGCGCTGGCGACCACGGCCTTCGGCGCGCCGGACCCGCGGACCTTTCCGTTCAGCCCCGCTCGGGACGCTGTGGAGCTTGTGTGGGATGGGTCCATGCTTCCCACCACGTGGAGAAGGGCGGAGGACTACAGGCTGGCCGGGCCGGTTATCGCGGGTAGGTGTAGGTGTGGTGAGCTAGGAAGGAGACATGTCAATAGTGATCATGAATGGGCTATGCTGAGGGAGACGCGTGAACGGGTACAGGGTGTGTTTGTCGACGGGCGTTACGCGAGGTTTGATTTGGGGCTGAGGGATGGAACCAAGGGGCCGTGGGGCCTTGTGTTTGGGTTGGTGAATGGGTTCTTTGGCGACGTGAGGATGTTGGGGGTGAGATTGTGGGACTTGGATGATGAAGGGTTTGAGGGGGGCTTTGATGTATCGAAGGGGGAGGCGCTATACAGGGTTGACCAGATGGACTTTTTCGATGGGATGGAGGAAGTTTGGTCTGAGCCTGGAGCTGAGGATCAAGGGGTGAGAGTGGAAGCTCCGTTCCTGAGGCTGAGGTTGCTGAGGGTCTTGCCTGAGTGACCATGGCCCAAGAGACCACACAAGTTCAGGTTCAGAAAAGTAAGGGGGAGCCACTTCCTGGTTGTTGGTCGAGGAGACATACCGACAGCTGGGCCTTGACTTACATGTCACTCAACTTGTTATCGTGAAGAGTAATGCGTGACTTGAACATGGCCGAGGACTCCTATGAGTCTTGAGGGTACTAGCCAGACACCCACAGCACATCATCAAACAGCGCAAAGCCTTGAATGACAGTATTTTGTAGCCTTCTGGCGTGAAATGTGTAATGCGGTGCTGCCGTCGGAACAACGAGAGAAGAGGCTTGACGGGTAACAAGGGTCTGCATCTACTCATGACACGCCACAAGACTTGGGCTGCACTAGAGCTTTAGTTACCATAACGGTATTTACCACTCAATATTGTACGTGTTGTCCTGCTTTAATGGTCAAGCTCCGATGGCGGCATTCGTTCGTAAAAGCGACTTTCCTGGGTACTTTTTTCTTATGCTATGCTGATGCTATTTCAAACCGTACACTTATAGAATCGTGCAGTCAGATTCTTGAAACACATCACGGACAACTGGCGCTTGTCAATCCTTGACCCTCGATAACCACTCCTCAGAAGGTCTATCCATCGTCCGCCGAAGATCATCGCTGAGTCTCAATCGTGACGTTGGAACATCCACATCGAACAAGCTCATTCCCAGTCGTGGACATCCAATCTCAGACGAGCTCGTCTTGACTGTCGACTCTGTCTGTTTGCTGACGTGATGAGAGGGCGGGTTGACTTCAAGGATCCCGTGGGGTGAGGTGATATCCGAATCGGCCAGCCCATCCTCCGGATCGAGGTTGTGTGCCTGTCGCACCACGCGACTCGTCTCGTCCCTGCGAGCCTGTTGTCTTTCCAATCTGTCTCGTTGTTGACGGTAAACCGATGAGCGACCCATCTTAGCAAGCATCATTTGATACAGAGGTCGTAACGTTGCTATCGAGGCTGCTACGATGCCGATCCCCGGCTCTACTGTACTCCATATCGCAAAGTTGGAGGTTCCATCTGCAAAGTGAGCAGTTTTATTAGTGTACTCGAAGGATCTGTAGCGCGAAGGCTATACAATGGGCTTACAAAGAAAATCCTCGCCGTCCAGTAACGTCGGGATATAGAACGCTCTAACAATAGTCGCAGTACTTCCTCTATAACCAAGACTGTCAGCTTTGCCCCGCTGTCGAGCCAGTATGTCTGCGGCCTGCCTGCTCTCACACTTACACAGCAGCTAGCCCTAAGATGCACACTACTACGATTTTGGTCCCGATCGGAAGATTCATGGATCTGACGATGAACCACGGCAAAGCACCGAAAACGAAGTCGGCGCTGGTATTGATGACTGTCGCCGCAATCGTCATGATGTAGATTACCCGCGAGGGCCAGCATTTTTCCGGTGTTCTGGGCCCGTCCTCCCAGTACGTTGGTACTGGTCTGCACTGGAAAGCTACCATGAAGAGGTATGTCGTTCCGAAGACAACTGTACCTACCATGAGAGCTCGAATTATCCAGATGTGCGGCCGATCGAGTGCAACTCGGAGGAGGAAGTAGCCAACGGAGATCTTGAGGAGACATGTTGAGACGACGTTGAGTAGCTCGAGGATCCACCATAGCTGGAAGTCATATCAGCAGGGGAATAGATTGGGGATGATGTGACATAATCTACCAGCAGCATGGTTCTCTTCTCCCCAGCAGTGATCTCAGAATCACGGCGGCCGATCCCATGAGTTCCTCCGTAAATCTGCAACACTAGATATCCGGTGAAAATAATCTCCCTTCGTTAGTAAATTACCGCTCTCAAGCTCCCACAAGCGTAGACGTCACTCACCAAGAGGAAGACCATGATCTTGTCGTCGATACCGACTGATCGCACCAATGCCGTGCGGCAATACACGCGGAGGCTGACGGCAACCCATGTCAGGAGGAGGAATACCGAGGCCGTGACGACGATTTGGGCGCTCTTGTCCGCCATGACGACGGTGATGACGCCGCGGATTCCATCGAGAACCACCTTGACTTGAGGAACTGAGGTGGAAGTTGAGAATGGAAAGATCCTGTACCACCGACGGAGACGGGATGAGCAGCCAAGCGACGCTTCATCAAGCACATCATAATTCAAATAGAAAGATCGCCCTACAGGATCGCCCTACAGGATCGCTCTGGACTTTGATATCGATCACAGTCTGATCAATAGGCCACGGGTTGTCACAGATGTTGAGCAGAGTTTGGAGAGCGATGCACGCGTGGCGAATAGGATCGTGAGCTTGGACATGGCCACCACCTGAGCGGCACCGCAAAGAGGCTATTGCAGGGTGATCTGTCTGATCATAACCAAGAAGACCATTCGTATGCAGGCAAGTTGCTGGATGGGAGGGGCCGTTGAAGATGCTTAGCTCGTCGCTGACTCGATTTTCCCACTTAAGACTGCGAATTATGCGGGGAAGACGGGAAACAAAATGGGCTTGGCTGTCTAGATTTGAGGTTGAAGATCAAAAGATGCGAGATTGGTTAACTTGTAAGTTCTTCCGGAGGGTGCATGGTAATATGTCTGGTGACAAGATGGGTTGAAGCGGGTGGGTTGGTGAGGCACACTGTGAGATGTCAATCACGTCAACACTCGCTTCTCGTCAAAGGTCCTTTCAATCTCGGACATTTGGATGACATGATGAACTCCAGATCACGTGCTTGAAGCTTGTAAACATAAGAATCCAGCTTATACTGCAGCATTTGAACTTGAGGCCAGCTTTGCCGGATGCCGTCTTGAAGCCGCTGACAGTCCATCTAGAAGGGAAACATGCCGCTATATCCCTGCTGGCAACTCTATATCGGCAGATTTCCTGCTTTTGAGGTCAGACATGATGCAGCGTGGACCTTTAATCTTGACTTGCTAATTATTCGCTATTGCCGCACGTGGCTGCAAGTTATATCGAGTCATTTAATCAACACAATTCTGCAGCCTCATTTCTAGCTTGGTTCAAGCTCTTCCTGCATCTCTTTTAATGGATAAATTACGACCAGTGGTTGGTCCTACCTCTCTCCCCTGCTAGATCTGGCGGATAGACGGCGGAAAGGTCGATGTATGTAAACACAAGCAAGAAGGAAGGGTAGGCCTTAGGTAGGATAGCGTGAATTCGGAAGAATCTCCGATGTGGGCTGGCTTCCTAACCTGTCTTGGTAACTAGAGCGGAACATGTAGTCTATTCATTCTCCCCGTGAAGAGAGCCTCCTGCCATATAGATCCACGTTCATGTGCCAGGCGGTTGTGAGTGGAATGAAGCCATGTCCATAAAACCCGTTGCTAGTCACTTGCAGGTCGCTTTCGACCAAGTCTACACGTAAGTTTGGAATGTGGCTAAGGGTTCGTTCATAGGCGTTGAGGAGTGGCAAACGTATTCGCTTTCGCTTGCGAAAACGGACAGGTCACTGCTCCCCTTGCCTTGATCACCTCCATATCCGACATCATCTCACCCCTCCCCTTCTCCCGCTGAGGCTCAGGCCCAATGGTCATCAAGTCATATCCCTGGGGAAAATATCTGCTTCCCCGTTCGCCCGGAACCTTCCCACCGACCGCTTTGACCAGCCATGCACCCGGACCCCAAGTCGACCACGTTGTTGGCCGCATGTACCAGGGTTGAAGGCTTTTCCGTCCAAAGTTGTAGAGCTTAGTCGCGGGGTTCGGGGTGTCATTGACGAGTTTGACTGCAGATGAGTCGGGGCGCGGCAGGGCAAGGTGACGGAGCCCGAGTTTCCTCGAGTTACGAACTAGTGCTAGAAAGGTGGAGAGGAGGATTCCGGGAGATTCCAGACTTTGGAAGATCAGTTACAAGGGATACAGTGGTCGCAAGATTACTTGACTTGACTTACTTGAGGCTCAATCGAACCACGTCGTCCAAGTCGGCTCCCAGCGACTTCCTCAGGGCTGCCCTGAAGAAACTAGGTAAAGAAGACAGGGCCGAGTCGACATAGACTCTGACGTATTGGTCATTTGTCGGCACCGGCTTACAGACTTCTTCTTCGTATTGGACGGTCCAGTTATTGAGCTCCATTGCAAAGTGCAACCCGTCCATCCAGCCTTGTTTACACGAGGGTAAAAGATCGAAGGGAATACCCATATCTTCACCTAGGTTCTTGTGGAAAATGCCAAGAGCACATACTTCGACATCGGTCAATTTGCGCCATTCGTCTCTGTTGACTACATTGATTATCTCAGCAAGGCCGTCGCCGAGGGTGTGAAGTAGGTCGGGGTCGGTGATCTTGTTCGCACGGCGATATCGTGCATGTCTGTAGGAACACCGCCTGTCAGCAACGAATAGACCCCAGTTGTTGATCAAGCTTGATACTTGGTGACTTACAGAAAGTTCATTCTTGCCACAGACATCGCATATCGATCCGAGTCTCTTGCCTTAGACTGTACTTCTCTGAGAAGGATCTCCGTATCGACTGATCGTTTCCCCGCGTTGCGTTTATTGTTCTGGCCTGTAACGGCAAATAGTCTGGACATTGATGGAACACTCCCAGCCTAGTACTTAGAGATCACTCATCAGTCTGACTTGGTCCTCCTTTGGCCTGGATGAGTTTCGTAAGAGAGATTGACTGCAACCCACTTTGAGGAGAGCTAGTTTGCGAGCTTTGGAGAAGGAGTATGGAAACTCGAGTTCTTGTAGCTGGGTGATGATCTCGTGGGACTCTTTGACGGTCATACTCGACAACTCCCTGCCACACTTAGCAAACGGCGCTTCAATTTGCATCATCCGGCGGTAACGTAATTGTTTGACTCTGAATATGTGGCTGACGATAATCATCGTCAATGCTGTCGCAATCATCCATGGTGAAATTTTGCCGATTTCAGGACTGTTGAATGGGAAGAACATGCTGCAGATGATACCACCACTGTTAGTTGCAGAGTGAATTAGTGTTCATAATTACACGGGCACGAAAATTTCGACATCTAAATTCGATCCTGGCTATTATAAGATATCACA